ATTTAAACAATTTTCATCTATATGTATCATTTATCATTCTCTGATTAAAACTGACAATAAACAGTACCAAGGATGGTGTATAGTCTGGTACAGCAAGAGGTTCCCAGTGTGGGGGGTGGGTTTGAAACCAGGAATCACTGTACTAGGTGATACCAATCCTAGTGACAGCACAGCATAATGGCAGATGACATAAAATTAGATCTACCACATGCATCCTGGTTTAGATTTCCTGGAATGTAGGGGGAAGAGGAGCGTTGGAGATGCAATTTGGAAAACCCAATTACAACCAGAATGTTTTTAACATTTTTATTACTAAAAATAAGTTGCAACAAGCACAATTACCTCAATTTTGGTTAAGAGGTCTCGCAGTTCTCCTGATTCATTCATTGACAAAATTTTCTCGGCGCCCTATTAACAAGAGAGGGTTGGGGGGAAAATCCATTTTGTTAGTATTGAGAAAATAAAGCTCTAGCCAGGAAGGGTTAACCCACAAAATACTGAATGTAATGCAAAACCAAATAAATTTATGATCAAGGGACCAAAGAAGAGGACAAACTTCCCTTTGTGTTCACATATCATTTCATCTAGTAAGACTACTACAGGCAAGGGGAAGGCACCAGCAGGCAGAGAAGGCTGGAAGCTGGACATGAAGGGCCAGTCCATCCTTCAGAGTTGTTTAGGGAGCTTGGAGACAGCTTGGGAAAAACAAGTCTGTGAGCAGATCCCAACTTGAATTGTCTCTGTCCTATTTCATACAACCCTGGACATGGCCTGGGCCTCTTTAGAGTAATGGATGTGAAGATGATTTACTATTGATTAACCGGAGCTCTGGTAGCGTAGTGGTTACGAATCAGGCTGTGAACCACAAGGTCAGCAGTTCGAACCTACCAGCAGTTCCGCGGGAGAAAGAGGAGGCGTTCTGCTCCCGTAAAGATTTACAGCCTTGGAAACCCTGTGAAGGGTCGCTACGAGTGGGAATCGACTCCATGGCACTTAACAACAACAACAACACAACCATTGAGTTGGTTCCAAGGAGTGGCTGGTAGATTTGAACCACTGACCATGTGGTTCAAACCAACCTTGCGCTCCAGTGTTTTATTCTGCAATGCCATGCCAGGACAGCAGCTAATAAATAATAATTGTATTTGTTGTTGTAAATTGCTGCCAAGTAGATTTTCAACATAGTGTTCCCACATTACTGAGTAGAACTGCACCATAGGATTTTTAGGCTGCAATTTTTAAAGGAACTATTAAACAAGTCTTTCTTTGACACAGCCATGGAACCTCCAACCTTTCAATTAGTATCAAGTGTTGAATTCTTGTGCCACCAGGATTCTTTGAATAACAATAATAAAATAACACTAATTAAGCAACCAATATGATGTAGATACCAAACATTTGATGC